CTCGTAAGTCTTTTTCATTAGACTCTTGATTTAGGTTTCAGACTTGAGACACAAGCCATCAAGTTTTGTTTCTTCTATGTATGTACAGTTTAACTACTGGTGAGTGAAGGATTAACATCGAAGTGAAAAGCCTCTTGAAGAAAGAATCAGAGGATTAATTAATGGTGGACTGATTATGGTTTTTTCTTGTATTGTATCTCCCCCCAATGTGTGTAGTAGACCAATGCTGCTAAAAATCATCAAAAGCCAAATCTTATTGTAAAATCAGTTTCTTGGTTTTTTTATTATTAAAGAGATTTGAACATAAGAAAGAAAAGTTTTGTTCTTTCTCTGTGTATATAAATAACTCTATTTATTATGCATTCTTATAAAAACATACATGTACATCAAATTGTATTTTTGTGTGCTAGTTACTACACAACTAGATATTGTATGTTTATTTATGTACTAATCAGTGAAATCCTTCTGATTCGCAAAGAGGTTTCGATAGCGACTGTGACTCACGCGCCTTGTCGCTTTTATAGTTTGGGTTGTGACCAAAGTGGGTCCCATCAAGAACTTGCCAATACTCGACGAAATTCCACGTGTCACGTTACATGCATCCACCTGTTTTATATGCTCTTTTCTTTCTTTAGCGTGCGAAATAGTACTGAAGTAAAAAATATTGATTGTCTTCCAAGAAAATTAATTTTTATACTGTATGTTAAAATTGTTGATTAATGAAGAGATAAAATCGAATTTTTGATAATTAAGACAGTAAGTAACTTCTCTTATCTTCTTCCTTTTTATCTTAACATTTTCTGGTATGGGCCTCACGATTTTTCTCTCTCTCCAAATCTTTGGGTATTTATTTATGAATCTAATCCATAAATTCTTTGGATAACGACGAAGAAGAAACCCATGTGATTCATACCAATCTCGTCTTCTTCTTCCTCTTATCAATCAAAACAAAAACGACAACGACTTAGCTTCTGTAATTTCCTTTTGGTATGACGAATTGACATGACTGATTACTTTGAATTTTGCTGTATTCGTTAAAGTTTACTTCTTTTGTTTATCTTCTCTTTTGGTTTGGGAGTGTAGTAAGATTGATCCTTAAGTAAAGGAAGAAGAAAATTTACAAAAAGCAAAAAGCTAAGATTTTTCTGGTTTGATTTATTCTTTTTTCAAGAGGAATAACGTAAGCGAGCAAAAAGCTCCAATCACTGTCGGGAAGCAAGCATAAATTCATATAAACCCTTTTCGGAATCTGTAGAATTTAGACAAAAAAAATCCAAAATTTCTACAAACCCTTTTTCGATTCTGTCGAATTCTGAATCGGTAACTCTGTTTCTTTCGCAAAGCTGAGAACTTTAGTGTTTTTGGGTTTGCTTTGTTTCAGGTTTTAGGTGATTT